AATGTCTGATCTTCTCCTACAATTGGACTCCTCTCTAGGGACCCCCAACCTCTCCCATTCTCCGGTCCACAGGTCTTGCATCTAGACTCATTCCCCAGCCGAATGGTAACTGCTCTACTTTCCTTCCTACCTCTCCTGTTCCGGCTTCCAACTCCACCCTCATTTTCCTCTCTTCCTCCCTGGACTTCCTCCACCTTTGCTCTCTGTATGTTCTCTGTCAATTCCTCTATTCTCACCTCCTGCTGGGATTCCTCTGTCACTCTGGAGCAGGCCTGGGGGTTTCCTCCTTTGCTTTGCTGTTGAGGAGGGACCTGAGGAGGGACCGCTCTCCAGCGAGAGGGGTACCCCCTCGCCATTTCTCTCACATTCCCCCCATGCAAGTAATTTGGAATAATTGCACAATGACCTTTGATGAATTGAAACAAAAGCCACATTTCTCAAAGCATCCTCAACACTACAGTACCAGGCTATTACACTATTAAACTATGGTAATTAACGCTCTTCTAGTGCCTTGATGTGTAATTGTAATTTATCCAAGGTGCTACCAAACAACTGAAAGGCACCAATTACAATGAAGCTTTTCTGTTCTGGTGCAGGATCCAAATGCCTCTTCTCAGGATGATACTTCCCTTGAAATGAAGGTACTTTTTGTTAGCATTCAAACACCTTCGTTACTGGGGGAAACTGTGTACTTCCAAGTACTGCCAAAACATACTCCATCCTCCTCTTTTCAGCAATCTACATCCTGTTAAAGCAGTTGCTATTCTTTGACCTGTGGCAGAGATATGGGTAATGTTTTGTTTTCTTTTAAATGGTATCCAGGGGTACAATGACCCTACATTGCTTCTATATTAGGCTGCCTCCTCTAGATCTGTAAAAATCACATGTTTGTATAGGAAGCAGAGACAGTTTCATCCTAATAAACCCAGATATAAAGTGCAGAGGAGCACATTCAGTTTGAAAAACCTAACTCCAGAGCAGAATGGATCCACTTAGGAGAGACTGGGGGCTTTTTCTGAGGTTGAACAAGTCTGCCCTTAGGTGTCCCAAGCCTCATTTAGTTTGCTTATCGCCAGAAGTTCTCAATGTAAAGGGGAGATTTTTGGATCCAAATCTGCAGTAAACCATTTTCTAAATGAGATCCAAACTAGCCCTGTATTTGGTATATAACCCAAAGAATAGAATTATTTGGTTTTTAAATTGTTTATATCGTTGTTTTATTTTAATGTTGAGTGTCACTTTGTTTGGGGTGGTGATGGGGGCAAGAATTAGGTTCTGATATAACATATACAAAGTACCGGCTTTACAGTTTAAGACAACATGGTATTTGATTCACATGTACTTAACATTCATAATCAGTATTTTACACAAGAAATCATACTTTGTGCAGTGGTGCCTCGCTTAGCGATTGCTCCGTTGAGCGATAAATCGCTTTGCAATGGACTTTTGGCCATCGCTGGAGGGATTGCTTAATGATGTCCTCTATGGCTAAAATTCATTTTGCGATGATCGCGGGGAAGCGATCATGGCAAAGCGAACTTTTTTAAACAGCTGATTGGCGGTTCCAAAATGGCCACCGCAAAAACAAAATGGCCACCGCTGTTTTGCCTTGCTGTAGAGGCACCCAAAATGGCCACCGTTATGGAGGAATTTCACTTTAAGGTAAGTTTTTAGCCCATAGGAACATATTAAATGCTTTTTAATATGTTCCTATGGGCTTTTTAAAATCGCTTAGCGATTAAATCCCTTAGCGATGTTTTTTCTGGATCGGATTAACATCGCTAAGTGAGGCACCACTGTACCTGTAATTGAAATATGAGTTCTTACTATTTCCTTACTATAATGATATTCTCTATGCATTTTGTATCTGTACTTTATATGCATTCTCTATAGTCAATGTATTTTGTATCCTCATTCCTGACCCCTCCCGCTTGGCGCTCACATTATCACACATTATCATACGGCTGTTAAACTGACACAGCTTTAAACTGACACAGCTTTGTGAGAACCACCCCTCCATTCAAGGCCAACTCACAGCGCTGCAGACAAAGACTGTAATATTTAAAGATAAACTGCACAATGGGTCACACAAATTCACAAACTTGGCAGCCATTAACCCACAGGCCCAAAGGGGGGGGGACAAATTGGATATTTTCTTACATCTATCACATCCAATAGGATGACCCAACAGGCACCCATAGGGTTCAGGAGACCAATAGGGGATGCTCTGCTAATTGTACTTTGTGTAATAAACTTATAAAATGCTTTACCAAATGTATGATAGGGCCCCCATTCCGCCTTTTTAGGAACGAGGCCCAGCTATATGTGTTTGAATAAAATTTGACTTACATATAGACTGAATCGATGCACTGTCTTTATCTGTTATTCACTGCCAGAGAATTGGGGACAAAAATTGGGTGCTAACAGTGGGATGCATGTACATGTGTTTCAAAACAAAGGGGAGCTACTGAGTGTTATAAATTTTAAATAATAAACAGAAATTATCTGTGCATTCATTCTCTCTTTTGCAGCAGCCTTTTTCATAATTACACCCTTATTCAGATGATAATGGTGATAGTAATAATTACTCAATGGTCTATAATAAGTACAACCAAAGATTCAAGTAACACATATCTGCTATTAAACTTTCTTCTCTTTTGATTAAAATAAGGTGACATTGACTTTTATAGTCAATTTGCACACTTTTTTCCAAAGCCTTTTGATATTAAATAGTAATAAAAATGAAAAATGCTGCAGCCATATTGCTAACTTAAGGTGGGCACAGGGATCACACAACTCAAAGACCACATCTCCTTTTATGAGCCTGCTTGAGTGTTAGAAGAGGCCTGACAAGAATCCATTTTTAGAAATTCACTTGCCAGCCATTTACTCAGGGAAAGCTTGCCTGAAGAGAAAAGGCTTTGCTGGCTTGCAGAAGGACAGCAAAAATGGGGCCAGCCTAGCCTCCTATGGGAGGGAGTTACAAAGTCTGGGATCAGCAACAGAAAAGGCCTCCTCTCATGTCCCCACAAAATGTACCTGTGAAGGTGGTGGGACTAGGAGAAAGGTCTCCCCTCATGATCTTAACACTTGAGCATGCTCATAAAGGGAGAAGTGATCCATGAGATAGCTTGGGCCCACACTATTCAGGGCTTTATAGGTCAGAACAAGCACTTTGTCCAGAAATGGATTGGCACCCAGTGGAACTGCTGTAACAAGGGTGTTATGTGTCCCCATAGCCTGGTTGCTATGTTTTGGACCCCCTGAAGTTTCTTGGCATTTTCCTAAGGCAGCCCCATGTTATGTGGTCCCCATAGCCTGCTCCAGTTAGCAATCTGGTTGCTATGTTTTGGACCCCCTGAAATTTCTTGGCATTTTCCTAAGGCAGCCCCATATAGAGTGTGTTACAGTAACCCAGCTGGGACATAACTAAGGTATATGCCACCATGACCAGATCACATCTCTCAAAGAATGGGTGCAGCTGGTGCACTAGTTTTAATTGCACAAATGCACTCCAGGTCACCCCCAAGCTGCGCACCTGTGATTTCAGAGGGAGTGTAAACCCCATCCAGCACAGGCTGCATGCCTCCCTGCTCCTTGACCGGCCTTTCAACTGACCATGAGCAAATCTGCAGCGCAGGCTGCATACCTCCCTGCTCCTTGATCGGCCTTTCAACTGACCATGAGCAAATCTGTTTTGTATGTATTAAGTTTCAGTTTATTCACCCTCATCCAGACCATTACTTCAGGTGAGATTACACTGGCAAGCCAAATTGGAGTGACTGATTCAGTTTCTTTTACAATTGTATTTGGTTCAAGTGAACACATGATTCACTTGGACCAACTACAATTGTAAAAACCCTTGATTCTTTTGCTGCCCGTGTCCACACTGGCCTTCAATCCCATGCAATTTGATATGCTCCCACAACCCCTTTCCTTTGCTGCTGCCCCCTGGTGATCCCTAGCCCTACATTCCTCTTCATTTTGTCTGCACAGTGGTGATATAGCACTAATGTACTGATGCAGTGATAATGCCACCGTGTGTTCTTTTAAGGAGAAAGGCAGTATAAAAATAAAATATTTTAAATAAAGTGATGCAATACCAAACTTGCTTTAAAATAAAAAAAAAAGTCAGGTAAGTGACGCGAAAGATATCAAGTGTGGGTGTTCCTGCTATCCTAAAATGTAATGTCCCAGCTTAATACATTACACCACCATAACACCATCCAGTCATGCCCCATTATCCTTTTGTAGAACGAAACAAACACTCCTGAAGTTTTTGTCAATGTAGGTACAGCCTTCTGTTCACAATCTTTTCCCAAAACAGATCACACCAATTCTCACACACTGCCCTTAACAAACTCTTTCCCTCCCAAACACCCAATCACTCGTCACCCACCCATCCCCCGCGCCCAGTTATACAGAACCATACCTCTGCAGCCAGGAATAATGCGAACCAATCCGCCTGCAGTTCCATTCAAAAACATTCTTCCACGTGTCTCAACTGTCACTCTTGGCACACATCCCACGCTCAACAGTCAATCAATTCCATCCACTTACCATGCAAGCCAAAACTACAAACCTGTATGTACTATACCTACATATACCTATATATATTTAAAAAACCACACATTTACAGGGCAAAATCGCCACTAAAGTCTGATAAGCTTTCCAATGAAATAACTGAGAGACCTACAATTAATGGCTATTAACATGATTAGGTAGAGCCAGTTCAGGATTTGTCAAGTTTTCCTGCATGCAGTATTTATGAAACAAAAATGAAAATGAATAAATGTGTACATAAATACGTTTTATTTTTTAAAATTAAAATCCGAAGGGAAGAACCAGGTGCCCCACCCTTAAGAACGTCAGGTTCAGAAACCCACGTCACCCACTCAGCCGGGCCGGCTACCTGGCTACAATGTGACCTCCACAACTAAAGGGGTCGCTGTCGGCCGAATAGGCCCACCTCAGCCTCTTCCTTCTCCAGCGCCGGATATTGCATATGCTGTGCGCGGCCTGACGCCTGCCTAAGCGGTTCCGCTCGTTTCCGTACCCGGGGCGCGAGGGCCGGAGAGAGGCTGTTGTCGTTGTCGTAACTGCCACTGTTGGTGAGGGGTTGGCAGGCAGGCCGGCCGGCCTGTGAAGCAGGACCGCCACCACGATGCCTACCGTGGAGGAGCTGTACCGTAACTACGGCATCTTAGCCGACGCCAAGGAGACCGCGGCCGAGGTGGGAGACAATGCGGGGGCCAGGCTTGCCTGCCTTTCTGTCCGCTTGAGGGGCTCCTGGGCCTAACCGGGAACGAAGGTGGAGAGAGGGAGAAATGGCTCTTTACTGTCAGAAAACCTCCAGTAGGAAACCGCACCGGGCGGGGAGAGGGCTCAGGTCGAGCCAAGGGGCGCCTTGAGGAAACCCTCCCTCAGCAGGTGCAGTGCGGCCCTGGGAAGGCTCCTTAAGGCAGGGAGAGGGCGGCCGGGCGCCTAGAGTGGTCTTAAGCGACTACATAGGCGGGATATAAATAAAAAAAAATAAAAAAATAAATTTTCCCCGGTCAGCACCGACAAGAGGCATAAGTGGCTTGCCGAGGTCCCTGCGTTACTGAGGGGAAGTGTCTCGGAGGCCGCTATTTGTAAGCTTTTTGGAGGTCGTCGACCCCTCTTTCTGCCCCCTCACAAATTATCTGGCTGTATCGCTCTGTCTTCATGCGTTGGAATAACCGCCGCCGCCGCCAAGTTTGGCATCGCCTGCCAGCATCCCTGTCGAAAAGTGGCTCTTTGCGCTTCACTAGCTTCCCCAGTCCTGACTGATACGGCTGCTCGAGCGAAATTGGAGTGATGAGATTTTTACTTGAGGGCTTGAGTCCCTAACGGAAAAATACTGATATAGTGAAGAACTTTGCCATGTATTTCTATTTAGTTCGAACAAAATTATGTCTCGGTCAGGAAATCTTAGTCCCTTGAGAGAGTAGTAAGAATAGTTCCTTTGTCATTGTGTTTAGTCTTGTTTTGTTGTGTCCGGAGTGTAAGTTCTGCAGGTACAGTAGTTTCCTTGCCTAGTCTGCTAGGAGCAAAAATCAAGTTCTAGGTCCACTTTTCATTTCAGGACTTATGCAAGTAGTTCTTGCAGCATAATCCTCTTAGGTTCCCAAACAATCTGCTCATATTTCAGTATCTTGACATAATTTTCTTTCTGTAAACAAAAATGTGTGCTAGACATAAAGACACTTCAAGAAATCTATTGATACAGTATATGCTGTGGGATGTTATACAATAGGGATTCCTAGTGTGGTGATAGAGTGATGTACTGGGTTTCTGAGGGCAGGGTTCAGATCCCCACTTAACCATGGAAACTCACTGGGCAAGTGTTAAAGCCATTCCTTAAACATCTCACTTACCTTGACAGCCCTGTTAGGGTCATTTTAAATTGGTTTCACATTAATGGGACATCACACATGAACAAACAATGTAAAACCTTTGAATATAGTCCTATGAGGTTTTTTAAGTGATGCACATTAAAGCAGCAGTCTTCTATGTACTCACCTGAGAGTAAGCCAAATCTAATTCAGTGTTAATTTTGTGTAGGCACATGTGCAAGTGCACTTTCCCACTATAACATAAGTATGTCTTTTTGAGAATATTTCATTTCTCTAAAGATACAGTACATTAGCCTTGGGAAAGTGAAAGATCACAAGCAGAAATATTGGCCTTAATAGTTGCTGTCTAATGCATAATCCATGGTTCTGCCACTTGGTTTGTGTGTCACAGGCAATACAGCTCTTAATTTGTTTTAAATGATCTTTGATACCCATGCTTGTGTCACAGTTCAGTCAGTACTTACTGAAAAGTAAGTCTCACCATGTTCAGTAGCTCACACTTTTGACTGTTGGTAAACTGTCTTAGACTAAAGCTTCTGCACCATCCATGTTCTTCAGCCAAGCCCAAAATGATGGCAAAATGTACACATAAACACAGGATTTTCTCATGTAAGAGATCAGAAAGAGACCTTATGTTCGCCCTGTTGCTACCCAGGAGGGTACTTCATTGTTATTTTCAGCATCTGTGGAAAGCTTTCATTAATTTACAGTCTCCAGAGGAACAGGCATGTTAGTCTGTTGTAGCAAAAACAATGAGCAATTTTATGACACTTGAAAAATGAATGAATTAGCCTGTGTGGTTCTACAGCCCATTCTAGATATTTTATTTTACAGGAACGTAATCTCTCTGTTTAGGAACATGGTGCTGCAAGGCCAGAAAACCAGCAGTTGTAAGATCGAATCCACACAAGGAGTGAGCTCCCGTTACTTGTCCCAGATCCTACCAACCTAGCAGTTCAAAAGCATATGAAAATGCGAGTAGATAAATAGGTACCACCTCGGTGGGAAGGCAACGGCGTTCCGTGTCGTCGCGCTGGCCACGTGACCACAGAAACTGTCTTTGGACAAAACGTTGGCTCTGTGGCTGGGAGACAGGGATGAACACTGTGCCCTAGAGTTGGACACAACTGGGCTAAATGTCAAGGGGAACATTTACCTTATTAATCTCTGTTTACAGCCAGTTTTCTGTAGAATGTAGAAGATGCCCCATTTTGTCTGTGTGCATTTACACTTTTCTTTATTCTAAAACATGTAACAATGTGTATTTTTAATGTGTATTTGTTTTGTACTCACATATCCCTGCCGAATCTTTCATTTGAATTGCAGGTACAGTGGTGCCTCACATTACAACATTAATTCGTTCCAGGGAAATCGCTGTAGAACGAAAACGTCGTAAAGCGATTTTTTAAAAAGCAAAAAGCGTGCTGCTTATATACCACCCCATAGCAGTTCAAGCACTCTCTGGGTGGTTTACAAGTTAATTATGCAGGCTACACATTGCCCCACCCCCAGCGAGCTGGCTACTCATTTTACCGACCTCGAAAGGATAGAAGACTAAGTCAGCCTTGAGCCGCTACCTGGGATTGAACCCCGGGTCACGAGCACAATTTTGGCTGCAGTACAGCAGTTTAACCACTGCGCCACGAGGCTCAAAAAAGCCCATAGAAATGCATTAAAACCCGGTTAATGTGTTCCTATGGGCTGGAAACTCACCGTGCAGCAAAGATCCTCCTTAGCGCGGCCATTTTCGCTGCCTGTGCAGCGAGGAATCCGTCCCAGAAAACAGCGGGTGGCCATTTTGTTTACCCAGTGGCCATTTTGAAACCGCCGATCAGCTGTTAAAAAATCATCGCTTTGCGAGAATCGGTTCCCGAAGCAGGGAACCAATCATCGCAAAGCAAAATTCCCCCATAAGCGATCGCAAAAACATCGACGTCAAGCAGTTTCGTCGTTAAACGGAGTGCCTGTCTTGTGAGGCACCACTGTATTGTGTTAATAACTGCAAATTTCTCATTTACTATCAAAATGAATTGTGCAGATCTCTACAACTGTATTCTTTTGTTGAATATATGATAATCTTTTAGTCTTGCATTTGTAATAAAGAAAAGGACTTCTGCTTTCTCCTTTAGCACAAAGATGCTTACCAAGTGATTTTGGATGGTGTCAAAGGAGGAGCCAAGGAGAAAAGATTAGCAGCACAGTTTATTCCAAAGTTCTTTAAGTATTTTCCTGAGCTGGCAGATTCAGCTATCAACGCCCAGCTGGACCTTTGTGAAGATGAAGATGTTTCTGTAAGTGCCTTTTTGTTTCCCACAAGGTGCTGTGCTGGTGCTTGATACTGGTGTCTTGTTCACTGATAATTGTGCTTTATTCTACTACAGATTCGGCGCCAAGCAATCAAGGAATTACCTCAGTTTGCTACAGGTGACAACCTTCCTAGAGTTGCAGACATCTTAACCCAGCTTCTACAATCAGGTGGGAAACACTGGTGCTTGCATTTGTAGAAATCTTGCAAATTGTAATTGAAGCAAGGGTAAAAATTCACTTTAGCCTTCTTACCTTATCATCAGCAGTATATACTTTAGAAGAATTCCTAGTTTTTACTTTTCTGTTATTGGTCACATTCCTAAATGCTTTGGATATTTCCTGCATAAAATGTACCATGTATGTTCTGAAAAGTGTCTATAGTCTCAGTTCTTGCCATTAAAATGTTGACATTCAGAGTATAGTGGAGGAAAGTGCTATGCTGACTTGTACTAGCACATCAAATTGTTGTAAGCCGCCCAGAGACCTTTGGGTAGTGTGAACGGCATATACGTTAAATAAATAAATACCCGTATTTTTCCATGTATAAGACGCCCCCTTGTATAAGACGCACCCCCCTCCCACTTTTCTACTCCAAAATTAAGAAACCTAAGTGGGGCTTAGCAAGTGGAGGGGAAAGCAGCAATCAAAGCCCTTCGGGATCACTTTGATCCCTGCTTTCCCCTCCACTTGTTTTTGTCTCTCCTCAGCTTACATCTGTGTATAAGACGACCCTCAAAATTTAGTCTAAAGATTTTAGACAAAAGTATAGCCTTATACACGGAAAAATATGGTAAATAAAATCTTTACAGCCAGAAATGTCCAGGTATGAGCCAGAAGCTACCATAGGTTTATTGGAATTCGTTTTAAGTACAAATAATGAAATGTCCATCTCTCTTTACAACACAGTAGTTCAAGTAAGAGTTATCTGAGTGCAGTTACTAAAGCATCATTGGTCCTTCATGCTGTTTTTTGCTTGTTTCTAATGTAATATAAGCATTTACACCATAGATGGAGAACGTGACATTTTTAGATGACATTTGGCCGAAGCTCCTATTATTCATCTTCATCTTCATTGGCCAAGCCTCAGGGGACTTCCAGTCCAGTGACTAATGTGGCCAAGCCTCAGGGGACTTCCAGTCCAGCATCCCAAGTGCCATGCATTTTCCACCCATGATTTACACTGGCATTGCACATGCCATTTTAGGGGGAATAGTACATAGTCTTATCAATGTAATGTCATTAAAAACATTTTGATCACACCAAGGCTTGTGTAGTTTCCACAATGGCCATCCATTGAACTACAGGAAATCCACAACCTGGGAATTAGTGTGCCCTGCCAACTGATATTCAGAGATGAACACCTGTAGTATAAGAGGTGATCATGACTAGTAGCTATTGATGCCCCCATGATACAGCCTCCACTGTGTCTAGGTTGGTAGCCATCACTATGTTTCGTAATGACATTTGATTTTATGGAATGATTTTAGTTTCTGTGAGAGACATGGATTTATAGCATCTGTGATCTGCAAATGGTCTTGTCTCTGAATTAACTTTTTTCATTTTGGAATCAACATCATCTCATACTTATATATAGTTGTTTCCAAGCATAATAGAGCATCTGTGCTTTCTTGCTTTTATGTGTTATGCTTTGCTTTACTTTGGTAACAGAGTAATATAAAAGAGTTCCACTGAATAAATAGCTTTGCCTTTGAAACTGGAGAAACAAAGTCTGTTGCTCAAGTCTTTTTCAGTCAATCAATCTTTATTGTCACAGACCCAATACAAATCATTTCAAAATTAATTAAAAGACTGTATAATTGTTTTAAACCCTTTTTGTACTTCAGTATGTATAAAGAGTTTAGAGAAAGGGTTATTCTTCATTTACTAAGAACTTTATGTAAAGGAGCTATTAAAATGCTGGTGTCTTTCTCTTTCAGAGATCATTGCATCCATATTACCCAGGGAGCCAAAACTGGTCTTCAGTAGAAATTAGAGAGAAATTCCTTTTAGCTTCTCCAGTTTTATTCATATTCCTGTTATTTAGTACAGTGGGGTCTTGACTTGAGAACTTAATCCGTATTGGAAGGCGGTTCTCAAGTCAAAAAGTTCTCAGGTCAAATCTGCATTTCCCATAGAAATGCATTGAAAACCATTTGATCCGTATCTGCTCTTTTCCATCCATAGAAACTAATGGGAGGCTGCTATTCCGCCTTCGACCACTAGAGGGGGATATTTTGTTTCTTTTTTTCTTAGGTCAAGAAAGGTTCAGGGAAGGCAGGGAAAATACAGTCCAGGCAGTACAGTACCAGGCAGTCCGAAGACTGTCTCCCAATCCACTCTCTAAACGCTGGGAGGAGTGAGGAAGCAGACAGGCACCCTTTTCACTGGCCAACAGTTAACTGAAAGTTCAAATTTTGCACTTTCCCTGCCTCCCACGTGGTTTTTTTTTCAGTTCTTAACTCAAATCTAAGTATGTAAGTCAAGTCAGTATTTTCCTATGAGAGTGGTTCTTAAGTCAAAATGTTCTTAACTCAAGCCATTCTTAAGTCAAGACCCCACTGTACTTCATATTGGCCAGAACCCTGTTGGCAATTTACACATTCAAAAGTGAAACTGTATATCACAGTGACAAATGGCTTCTAATTAAAAAGATGCCAGCCACATTTGTGTTTGCATTGCTGTTGTGTGACCAGTACTATGTTAATTATTGGCAGTTTTTCACTTTACTTACTCAAATTCATTTACTTGCATGTAAATTACCTGTAGGATTCAGGTCATCAGATTGTATCAGTTTTGTAGTATTGCAGGTCATTGGTTTGTATCTGCAACAAACTATTCATTATTATTATTATTATAAGAAGTGTAGAAAAATTGTCTGTATCCACTCCTACACACCACACACAATTTTATATGATTTGAGTATTGATTCCTTCCCCTTACCTTTTTCTAATCTAAGGAGCCCCAAAATCTAGTCCGCTGGTTCTTAACCATGGGTTACTCAGGAGTTTTGGACTGCAACTCCCAGAAGCCTTCACCACCAACTGTGCTGGCTGGGGTTTCAGGGAGTTGCAGTTCAAAAACATCAGAGTAACAAAGGTTAATAATCGCTGATCTAGTCTTTCCCCATAGAAATATTATTTAAGTCAAAGTTTATTTTAGCTATACTTTTCTGCAGCTTTTCTAGCTCTTCCTATTGTAAGAAGATGACAAAAAAAGAGCTGGGAGTTAGTTTCCACTTGCATTTTGTTTTTGAAGTGTCATGATGTATATATTCTGGAAGTGTTTTTTTCACGTAAATTATTTAATAGTTTCTTTGTGCAATTTAGTTGTGTTTATCTTTAATGAGCTTAGCAAGACTTTCAATACTTTTTGTTTTCCCAGATGATTCTGCAGAATTCAACTTGGTTAACAATGCTTTGCTTAGTATATTTAAGATGGATGCTAAAGGTAAAGAACCTAATTTTATCCTGGTGTCATTTATGATGTGGGTTTTTTTTAATTTGCTTACACACACGGAATGGCTGAAATTCTGTCACTTGGCATACTAAGGACTCAATCAGATGGGCATTTATCCCACAGTTAGGTATGATTTGCAGTGGGGGTTGGTCTATTTTCCCCCCAGGCAATCAGTTGACCCAATCACTAGAGCAGACCAATCAATCCCCAGAGCACCTTTACTCACTTGTCCTTTTGGAATACCTGTAAGAGGCTTCTGCTTTTTTGGTGCAAGTAAGTGCACTCTAGTTTGTTCCCAGTGCATGCAGTTCCTTGGAATGGACCAAAATTGAGCTTTGTAGCTAGCAAAGCTGCCAAGGCTCCTTCCGCTCTTTATTTTCAGTATCATAAATTGTCTTAATAAGCTAGACGGTCACTGATGCACTGAATCACTTAGACTAATTTTTAAAAAAACATTTGTTACCCTTTCTATAGTGCTAATCAAGAAGCTACCCATAGCTGCAGTAATTAATCTCAGTGATTCAGTGCATCAGCACTAGTCTAGCACAGGCAAAATAAATTTTTTCACTTCCCCTATCCATCTGCAGAGGAGCAGGGACAGTGTTCAAATTGCCAATATCCTGAAGTGGCTCATTTATCACAGTTCTGGAAATAGAGTTGCTTGAGTTCATTATGCCATTTTGATATGAGGATTGCACCTCCCTCCAACCTCAAGCGGTCCTTATTTTAGACCACATGAACTGCACCAAAAGGGCTAGTATGGTTGCATCCTAAGTCATAACTGGGTTAGACCCACTGACTCAATGGAACAACCAACCAACCAATCAAGTGTTGGATGCAATAGCATCCTAAAATGCCAACTGGTAGCTCAAAATTATTGCCCTACTAAACACCAGTGTGACCTGTTTACTATATGCAAGAAGGATCTTGGGGTTATTCTAAATTACAAGCTGGATATAAGAAGGTGCAGGACCTGTTCTCATTCATTCCAGAGTACAGGAAATGTAATAATGGGCTCAAGTTACTAGAAGCCAGATTTTGGCTAAATATCAAGAAAACCTTTGTAACGGTTAGAGCAGTACAACAATGAAACCAGTTACCTCAGGAGGTGGTAATTGCTCCAACATTGGAGGCATTCCAGAGGAAGTTAAATAACCGTCTGTCAGACATACTTTGAATTGGATTTCTACATTGAGCCGGGTATTGAACTCGATGACAGTATAGGAACCATCCAGCTCCATTATTCTATTATCTTATGATTGTTTGGAAGAAAATATGGAATTAAATATCATTAGGAAGATATGATGGAAAAGAAACTGGCATAAATGGTTACGTCATTTACTACAACAGTGGTACAATAAGTTGTACAAATGTCAGAAATATGATGTTTTAGTTGTTGTGGGTTTTTCGGGCTCTTTGGCCATATTCTGAAGGTTGTTCTTCCTAATGTTTCGCCAGTCTCTGTGGCCAGCATCTTCAGAGGACAGCACTCTGTGCTCTGGTGCAGTTGGCTTGGGAGTGCAGTATTTATGGCTGTGAGATAGACTTTTGTCTTTTTCTGTAGATGGGTGATTAGTGTGTATTGTTGTGAGTGTATTGTTGTGCTAAGGAGAAGAGATTATCTGTCACTGTGGTTGATGGGTGTCATTAGCTGATCTTTTGTGTGTCTTTTGTAAAGCTGTCACTGTCTTAATGTAGCCATGACTCTTGCATTAATCTGTATAACCAAAACTCTGTTTCTTTCTATTGTAAAAGAAATAATTGGGAATCCTTGTTTTGTTTTAGGAACACTGGGTGGTTTATTCAGCCAGATTCTTCAGGGAGAGGATATTGTGCGAGAAAGAGCCATCAAATTCCTCTCCACAAAACTCAGAACTCTGCAAGAAGAAGTGTTAACAAAAGAAGTAGAGGAACTCATATTGACAGAATCAAAGAAAGTGAGTTTGTTACTTTTTAATAGTTACACAGGAAATAGTGGTAACACAGTTGCCTGGGATTGGTAAACTAATACAGTGGTCCCCAACTGTTTTTGACACTGCGGACTGGTTTGGGGGTGAACTGGGTCCGTGTGGATGCACAAAGGGGTGGCACTCGCTCGTGTGGGTGGGCACGCACTAATGTGCAAAGGGGTGGGGGCACTCGTGGGGCTGTGCGGTGGGGCGGGGAAGATCTGTGTCACCGCATATTGGCACTGGGCCGCAGAGCAGTGGTTGGGTTCCCCTGAACTAATATATAGAGAGCAGTAGGAAAGCTTTTGATGAAATCCATGTGCAAATAGACTTCTGCTCTCAGACCAGTACATTTTCCCTCCTTTGTCTGTGCACTGCATGCTAGATCTGATCTCAAGAGTCCCCCAAGTCTCTGGGACACATTTTGAAGGCATGTAGGGAGCTGCATGGTCGGAATGTCTTGCTCCTCCCTGGTCTCTTGATCAAAAGAGTTCCATTCTTGGGAAGACTTACCTGAATGCTATCCAGTATCACAGTTCAGCCATAAATGATAAACACCTCTCAATGCTTTGCAGTTCAATAGATTCATGTTCTCATTCTATACGTTCTAATATAGGGGTCTCCAAACTATGGCCTGTGGGCCAAATCTGGCCCACCTTGCTGTTTTATCTTTTCTGTTCCCTTAATCCTGTGCATGTGGGGGGCATCTGTGCATGCGTGCATGTGTGCTGGGGTGCATATGTTCATGTTCCTTTGGTCCTATAAGATCTTGAAAATATCCATTGTGTCCCTTAAAAAGTTTTGGGACCCTGTTTAAGGTGACATAACACTACCAGATTTGTCTTTGGATTATGTACAAGACAACATAAGATTATTTCATTGCCCTATTTTTCTTCACTTCGTTCCCAGGAATACAAAGATCCTGTTTAAATTAGTGCTTGAGCTAGATCTGAATAACTGTTGGCATTCATATTTGTAGACGAGGAGCAGTCTGTTTTATTCTCTCAGCTTTGCAAAGCACTTTTGTTCGATTATCTGACTACTGCAGGCTAGATCTTTTAATCATTTAATTCATTGGCCATTTCTAGGTAAAAGGTTTCCAGTCTATCTTTTAATTGGTCTTAATAAAAGTAATGTGACGATTTTAAATTTGTATACATAAGTGTGTAAAATTGTTGTGCTGCAACTGTAAGAAATCAGGGTGTCTTTCCTATGTCCATTTGCTCCCATATGCTTCCTCACTAAGGCTTCATCATATTATATCTTGAGTGCCTTAGTGGTGGAAGGTTTGGATACAACACAAATAAATGAAGAAATGAATTTGTTATACCAATCAGTTTCAAAATGACAACTAGACACAGACAACCAATATTTAAGTCTCTGCTCAAATACCAAAAATTGACATAAATTACTTTCAGCCATTCCCTTAGCATTTAACATTAAAAAAATCTTTTAAAGTTATTTTTGCACTTAAATGTGTGAAAAATTAAGGAGCGGTATCCTGTAAAGGAAGGATACTTGTATTCTCTGTTATGTTGATCTCTATCTTCTGTTACTCACTTCTGTTAAGGTACTTGAGGATGTGACAGGTGAGGAGTTTGTCTTATTCATGAAAATTCTGTCTGGCTTGAAAAGCCTGCAGACTGTGAGTGGGCGACAACAGTTGGTTGAATTAGTCGCTGAACAAGCTGATCTCGAACAAACTTTCAATCCTTCGGACCCCGATTGTGTGGACAGACTCTTGCAGTGTACCCGCCAAGCAGTCCCACTTTTCTCAGTAAGTATTTGTGTTAAAAGAGTGTTGCAGGTTTTATGCCTACTTAGCACTGCAAACAGGCTGTGTTGGAGTGAATGCTCAATAATGTATATCATGACTATGTAATGCTACAGAATAATTGTGTTTGTGAATTTTATGTATTGGTTTATGAAGTAATTTATATTTTGCTTTTTGATTCTTAAAGGGGAAATCTGAAGTGGCTTACAATAAAAACAAAGAGAGAAAGGGCACAATAAAATGGAGTTAAGATGCAGTGAAATTGATGGGAGGATAAAATTAATCCAAGTGTGGTTGAGAGGAAGACAAAAGATTCAGAGAAGGTTAAAACCAAACCAAAGAATAAAAATGTTTTAGCAGCTCATCTAAAACTTAAGTGGAAATGGGGAACCTCCTAGGGATTTCTGTCACACTATATCATCCATCAATCAACCCTGAGTATTCACTGGAAGGACAGATCCTGAAGCTGAGACTCCAATACTTTGGCCATTTCATGAGAAGAGAAGACACTTTGGAAAAGACCCTGATGTTGTGAAAGTGTGAAAGCAAGAGGAGAAGGGAACGACAGAGGACAAGATGGTTGGACAGTGTCATCGAAGCTATCAACATGGAATTTGACCAAACTCTGGGAAGACAGGAGGGCCTGGCATGCTCTGGTCCATGAGGTCACGAAGAGTTGGACACGACTTAATGACTAAACAACAACATTCATGCTCAGTTTTATAACAATGTGTTTTTCTCTTTTGGAAGGCCTTTTTTGAGGATCAATATTTTAATTCCTGTAGCATGGATTCTTTTTTAATTTTTAAAAGTGAAGAGGCCAACAATTGCTGTTTAAGAGAAGCAAGACTCGTCTTTTCAATTTATCTTATCTCTTAATTCTGCTGACATTTACAGTCATTTATTTCTGAATGTGGGGAGGTGAAACAGTTTGACATTTAAAACACCATGACACAAAAAGGCGTTGCCCAATCTTCCCCAAGTTAGGGTCAGAGACTTTCTGCTTGAACTGTGCCATGACTAAACAACAAAATATTGTCCATCTCTTTAATGTACTCTATAGCAGCAGTCTCCAATTTTTTTGGGACCGCGGACCGGCTGAGCCTCTGAGGAAGGCGGGGCACCCTCCCTGTGTAGGCACTCTCAGACACATGCGCAAATCAGTAGGGGAGCACGTGCACCAGTGCCAACATGAGCACTCTCACACACCTTCGCGCATGCACAAGAGCACCTGCACGCCTACGTGCCCACCTATCCCTTTGCATGGGCACTCGGGTGCATGCATGAAGGGGTGGGGGAGCACTCACGCTGGTGCACATGCGCAAAGCAGATGGGAGTGGAGTGCGTGCGGGGGGGCTGTCTCTGCGGCCCAGTCCGACTCAGGCTGCGGACTGGAATCGGGCTGCGGACCGGAGGTTGAAGATCTCTGTTCTATAGCACCTGTTGCAATATAACGTTGTCTTTGCTGGTCATGAGAAGTGGCTAATATGTATCAGATTTCTACATAAGCACCAGAAATGACAGTACATTCAAGAGTCATGCGGTACTATAAACAATAACACATGTACTGTAGCATGCATTATAGTAGGCTCAATTCAAGACAGTTACCTGATGTTATAGTGAACGTTTCGGTATGCCTGCTCCTGACACAGAGACTGGTATTTTCAAAACTCCAGACAAGTTCAAGTACTGTCTCAAGTACTGTCTCAATTACAGTTTCCTCAAATAGGGATTATGCTTATCCTTTCTAGTTATTTTCTTAAACTTTATTCTGGAATCTGTATACTGTATTGGGAAGACTGTGTAGGTGGCTGCTCTACATTTTGCTTTCTCCCTGTGTTTGCCTTGGCCAAGAGAAACATCTGTGCTCTTTTGAAAGCCTAACCCTCACTCCACACCAACTTGCTTCATTAATAAGTTAATCACCTGGAAGGGATTTTTCCGTGGCCTGGGTAAGTGGCTATCTGCAGGAATGCTGTGACTTTATGTAGATAGCATACCGGTTTAAATGAAGCTTTTGCTTCCTGGAAATTCCTGGAAACAGGAACAACCATTATTCCAACACAGTAAATAAATAAAAAATAAGGCCATGGTTATCCAGTACTTTGATAATGTGTCAGCACTGTGATATATTGATTTCTGGTAATAGCAGTTACCATTGAAATACTGGAATTGTGCATTGGGGCTTGGGAAAAGTTTGCAATAACAACTGCTGTTTTGCTTTTCCACAGAAAAATGTTCATTCTACAAGATTTGTCACTTACTTCTGCGAGCATGTGCTGCCAAATCTAAGTTCTCTTACCACCCCAGTTGAAGGCCTTGATATCCAGTTAGAGGTAAGCTAATCAGTAAATATCTAGCATGCCTTTGGTAGCTAAAATTTAGACTATGTCAAATGCTGGATAGAAGAAATAGATTGCTGAGTTTGATAAGTATGAGTCTGAAGATGCATTACCTCCTGCTGGGTTTGTTCTTTAACCAAACCTTATACACATTTGTGGTGATAAACACACCAAGTTAAATCTTTCTTCTAGAAAGATCTTTATCTGCCCATGATTCCAGTGGCTTAATTTTCTAAAAGTAAGTTTTAAAAAATGTTCAGTCTGATATTTGACACAGGACTTTGTTATTATTGTCAGGTTTATATTTGAATTACGAACATTACTCCCTTATTAGCCTCTTTTGTAATGATGGCAGAATACTGGGATTATATTTATAAACTATTTATTCATTTTTATTCATGTTGGACTGCTGTCATCTTTCCTCCCATAGTCTGTTATGGTTTAAAATTGTAATGGTAGGACATGGCAAACCTTAGTTTTCTAAGGATTATCTGCTTTTTTTCTCCCCAAGGTACTGAAACTGCTTGCTGAGATGAGTTCCTTCTGTGGAGACATGGAAAAGTTAGAATCAAATTTAAAGAAGCTTTTTGATAAACTACTGGTAAGAAGATTCTTTTCCTCAGAGATTGTAGAGAAAGTTTGTAACTGGATGTACTTTATTTGGGATTGAATGATGCTTAGCATGTTGGTGGAAAATACAGTTTTTAAAGAGTATGTATATTGTCAGTGTTGCAGTAGCCAAAATTCTATTACTTGTGATTGTTGGGATAAGCCTAGTGGTGTAAATCTCAGCAGTGAATTTCCATTGATTAAGAGATCAGCACTTGTAGTTTTTCGTTGTACTGCACACAAGTTCATGACTTAGCATACAACAAGTATAGGTTTTGACTGGCAGCAATCCACTGGTGACATTTGCACTGTGTATAAGTAACAGGATTTTAACCATAGCCTATCTAAAGCAATTGTCTATCTTCCATATCCTTACTGGACCTCATACAAGCCCTATTACCTTTATGAAAATATCTCAGAGTTCAGTCCTCAGAAGAGTACACCACCTGAAAAGTAGACCCGACCAGTAGCTTAGAGGTAATAAACTTTTTTATTAAACAGCAAGGGTTCACATTTTGTGCTGGATAGCCAACTCTTTGGCTCTATTAGATTAGTGGTAAGCAACTTATCTCCCTCCAGATGTTGCTAGATTACAGCTTCCATTACTTCTAATCAACTGAGCTAATTATGAGGAGTGGCAGTTGCAGTTCAGCAAGTTTGGAGGGCCACAGTTCATCCACCCTTGTACTACACCTTTGGGTCCATTCCAAATATGTCAAGCAGAGAGTGTTTGCCAGGAGTGTGATAGGAACTGGAGAATGGAAGAACAGCTCTGCAGAGGTAGCAGTGTAGAGTGAAGCAGAAATTAAACTGAACTATGGGAAGTAAGAGGGAGACCTGAAAGCCTTTCTCAGTCAGGCAGTCAGGAATTGGGGAACGGAGTAGTAAGATAATAGGGGAAATGCTAGTAATTAATTTTAAATTGTGAGGGGGTAAAATATTATTTCTCTTGATTGGACATTGATCGTAATTCAGGAAGAATTAAATTGTTGATGGTTTTGGCTGCTATTTTAAGAAAAACCTGGTTTCTTATTCAAATTTACATCTAATTGATACTGCATAATGGTATAAAATACATGACAAATACAGTGTATATCTACAGTAACAAGTGCTGTGCATATTCTTGTTTTTTTGTTTCCTAGGAATACATGCCACTCCCTCCAGAAGAAGCTGAAAATGGGGAAAATGCGGGTAATGAAGAGCCCAAATTGCAGTTCAGTTATGTGGAATGCTTGTTATATAGCTTTCATCAGCTGGGCCGAAAACTTCCAGACTTCCTAACCACCAAGCTGAACACAGAGAAAGTTAAAGACTTCAAAATCAGGTTATGTTTCTTTCTTAATTCTGGCAGTAACAGAATAATATAAATGTAGATTCTTGACATTCTGTTGATTAAAGCTGATTATGGTGATTGCCTGTCAGGGTAGATAGGAGGGAAAAACCACTTAATTGAAGTAGAAAAAAACAAGCTAATGACAATTTTAGACTAAAAATATGCAGGATACTTATTCATAGTTTGGGGGAATAGGAAAAATGTTTTTTGTATCAGGACTTTTTCTGCATCCTGAAACTGGTATCAAAAACATGCTTCGGCCAGCAACCACTAAAGACTTATTCACAATTTAGATGCTTCTTAAGTTTTAGTCCTGTAACTAGATTCTTTGGATTGAAGTCCTATGTGCATTTGACCTGGGAATGAGTTCTCTGGATAAATACAGTGGAACCTACATCTCACCAAATGTGCATAGAAATGCATGTTAGTTTTGTTGTCTTCACCATTCGCTTTTCTGATTCAAAAGGCCACTTTGATTAATAGCAGCAATACAAATTAAGGATTACAGTGCACTTCCCGAGATAAATCTCAGTTTGTGTCAAGCTAATATTAATATATATGTATATAAATAATACAATATTAATATTAAAGATTTATTCAGCTGAACTAATTTTTTCCATTATCTGAGAAAATGCTTCCATACTGTTGCCTCATCACAATGTCAGTAGTCACCTGAAAATGCCCTTCTAATTTGGTAACTAAATGGTAAGCTTACAATAAATGGATAGAACCAACTGGCCAGTGTGCAACTGTCCCTGCCACCATTGGATAAACTCTTCAGTACCCACTAGCAGAGGATCTCTGGAAAAGTGGAGCCATATGTTCTGTGTTCTTACAGATACAGCAAAGCTTGAGACTGACTTTCCATCACAAGCAGTGCTGCGACAATGGTATCTAAGGTGCTTCTCAGTGACCAGGGATAGAATAGTATATGGCTGCAATGTGAATAATCATCTGTAAAATACTGATCGATCTATCTATCTATCGATCGATCGATCGATCGATCGACCGACCTACCTACCTACCTACCTACCTACCTACCTACCTACCTACCTACCTACCTACCTACCTACCTACCTACCTACCTACCTACCTACCTACCTACCTACCTACAAATTTTCAGACATATACCCTGCCAAATTATATATCAATGTGCCAGATCTCTCATTTTCTTGTGTCTCTTTAACAGTGAGCATCTTTACTGCCTGTAGATGGTGATGTTGTCCCGCCCATCTAGATTGAGTTCTACTCTGGGTGGCTAACAGCAAATTCATAAAACAATTTCATAAAAACAATAGGTGTATAAGATAACAACAACATAATATGATACAAGATGGCAAAAATAAATTAAATAATGGCAGAAGGGAAGGCCTGCCTAAAGAGCCAAGCCTTGAGCTTGCTCTTAAAAACACCCAGTAAAACTTTCTGATATAAAAATATTTCATTCATAAGTAAATATATCACAGCATTAACTCTCTAAGCAGACACCATTGTTTGGATCACTCTACATGCTGTCTCTGGTGGGTGGTAGGTTAGTTTTGAAGTTGCTATCTGTCACCATTTTCATTATCATCTGAGATACTTCATTTTGTTTTGAACATACCATTGCATAACTTACCTTTCAACTAATCTGTTTTATTAGACTCCAGTATTTTGCTAGAGGACTGCAAGTTTATATCCGTCAACTTCGTTTGGCACTCCAGGGCAAAACAGGAGAAGCATTAAAGACAGAAGAGGTATGCAGAACTCTTAACAGCACTGTTTCAGCTGAATTATCAAATGCCCAGTTCACATATCACACATTCAAGTCATGACATAGCAAAAGCAAGTAATCCATAAGACAGGTCTTAGTTTTATATGGCCCCTGCCCCCGAAATCGACCAGAATGAGGACCTAAACATTATTTATTTGTGTCTTCTCTAGATTTCAGGTAGTCACCAAGATTTGGTGGTTTATAAAAAGCTTTGGTTAGTTTTACTTGCCAGATTTAGCAACTATGATTTGAATTTGGGTTGTTCTGAAACTTGCTAGTTCATAATAAACCCCTGCCCGTTCTCCACAGGATTAGCCAAGATTTAGAAAAACTAGAGTTAAACAGTACTGATTTTTTTTTCCTGTGGACTAAGTGGAGGTAAAGTGCATGAAACTTCCACTTATTCCTTCTTACTGGGCATGACAAACTGAGATGGAGGAACTTCTTGGAGGAGTGGATACTTATGATTTGAATGCAAGCTAATGAATAGGATCCATAGCTGAGTAGAGCAGAATGATCCCAGAGGCAGAAGGAATGAAGTGGGTCTCAAGAGATTTCCCATCAGCTTTTCTGTCTTTTGTGCCCCTGGTAAATCTGTGAATCTGGATTAGTGAACTTTTGAGACTAGTTAGTGAAGTGGTGCTAGAGATTGCACTGGGAAGCAGAATGGTAGGAAATAGCCATCTTGTCTCTTTTGCTCATTCTTTATTTCTGCCACTAGTAGAGAATTGGTACACATCTGCCATTCTTAGAAATCTTCTGTGCTTTCGTCGAGAACAAAAAAAGCACTATGTTAATTTCATCACTGTCTGAAACTGGAGAAAAAAAAAGAAACACTAAAATATTGCAGATGTGATGTGTCTTTCCGTTGTCTTATCCTCCACATGAACCAGTGGGTGGTAACTGAATTGCATAACAGGATTTTGCATTAGATTGAACTGCAGCATTCTAACTGGGAAATATTTATCTCCAGCATTTAAAAAGCACATTCAAAAAATTAGTGTAAATCTGAGAAGAATGTATTGTAGCACTTTACAAACTCTTTGTTTTTTTTGCAGAACAAAATTAAAGTGGTTGCATTGAAGATCACAAATAACATCAATGTTTTAATCAAGGTAATTATTTTATATTAAAGCCTTTGTTAGAAACACAGCACTAGGGTAAAACTATAGTATGATTTTTTTCTAATTTATATTTTCTCTTTGCTGTGTTTTATATGAACACCATAGCAGTTTTATAAAGATTGTAGTATGCCTGTCTTCAGAAATAATGGTTAGAATCCTATGAGCATTTGTGTAAGGCTTTTATAACTTGCTGTGGCTAACTGCAGCTAATTGATGAAATGTCAGGTCATATTTTTTATTGCAGACAGGGTTGATCATATGGCCAGGTGCGCAATATAGACATGCTTCAGCACCTTGTCAATTACTTACAGTTAGTCACAGCAAACTTATGCAAGCACTAATAGGCCTTTGGACATGATTGAACATCACTTCCAAAGAGATGCACATATTAATCTGTGCCAATATGTATAGCAAAAAGAAAAAAGGAGAGAGAGAGAAAAGGATATGTTTTTTTAATTATTTTTTATTTTTAAAAACTAGGGATAAGGTAAGGAATACAAAAGGTAGAAGAGGATGTAGGGGAAAAAGAGAGAGGAAGGAGAACATAAAATGTACTATCATCCAATCTGTTTGTTCACGTTGCAATATCAAGTCCACTTTTTGCCTTTTTAAAATTTGATTGCCCTCCATGTAAAGCAAAAAAAGCAAAGTGTGCTGCTTATATACCGCCCCATAGTGCTTCAAGCACTCTGGGCGGTTTACGAGTTCATTATGCAGGCTACACATCCCCCCCCCCGCAAGCTGGGTACTCATTTTACCTACCTTGGAAGGATAGAAGGCTGAATCAACCTTGAGCCGGCTACCTGGAACTGAACTGCAGGTCATGAGCACAGTTTTGGCTGCAGTAGAGCAGTTTAACCACTGCACCACGAGGCTCTGTGTACATTTACATCTTAGTTTAATTCTATGGTATTCAAGCTCTATCTGGTGACTCAAGCCATATAATAAATCCCATCATTCAGCTGTCTTTTGTATTGGTTAAAATAGAAAAGGAGAGGTCTTGTGGCACCTTAGACATGAGCAGATTTATTTGTACTATGAGCATTGAGCATTTGTAGATTACAGTCTATTTCTTCAGTAGAAAGTAGAGTACTGTATTTGATTTGAACAAACATGCAAAGAACCAAAAGTGTATTTTATACAGTTATAAAGTATTAGTATATATGATTTTTGAAATAAAATCCTGTTTTGTTTTTAGGATCTCTTTCACATCCCCCCATCATACAAGAGTACAGTCACACTCTCTTGGAAACCAGTTCAGAAGTCAGATGTTGGGTAAGCAGTGAATTACTTTGGAGTGCTTTCTGCACTACTCTGTTTATTGTAAACCTCAGTAACTTTTTAATGTAAAGTGTAAATTTTGTTTTATATTGCTCATTGTAAGTTATAGAAGCATAGAATAATTGAGTTGGAAGGGGCCTATACTGACATTGAGTCCAACCCTCTGCTCAGTGCAGGAATCTAAATTAAAGCAGATCTGACAAATGGTTGTCCAATTTTCTCTTGAATGCCTGCAGCATTGGTAGTTCAGTGTTGGTATTGCAGAATGAAAGAAATAACATTGAGAATGCATTTTTTGCAAAGATATGGCCAAATCTAATAGCTGGTTTCAGAAAGGGATTCTGCAGAAGCCTTGGAACCATTAGGGGGGAATCAGGAATACTTTTTTTTCCTGAAAAACCACTGCATCTGAAATCCTGTTCTTCTGCTTATGCCACATAAAGCTGATAATGCTATTAGCTATGGTGATTTTTTTTTCAGAAACAAAACATTCTTAATTCCCTCCCTGAAGGTTCTGAAACTCCTGAGGAATCCCATTGTTCAGGGCTATGAGACTGGTAAATTATCAAAAATTGCCACCACTAGTAAAGTCATCTCACTGACAGTGATTTTCAGTAATTAAGGGCTCCCCCCCACCCGCTGTTCTGCAGCCTCCAATGACTTTCCAGTGAAGAAAAGCATTCCACAGGAGTCATGGGATCTTCAGAGAGAAACTGGAAATATTGTACACTTCTCCCTTCAATAAAACTGAGGCACCAGATACCCATGTAGTTCAAAATCTCTGTATAACTTTTATATGCCCCAAAACATAACTGCAAGCCATAAACAGTTGATTATAACACACACACACACGCACACACAGATGTAGAACCATTATATTGGGGTTCTCTTCCATAGTATTGACAATCCTTTTCATACAGTACCATGTATAAAAAGCCTTAAAGGTCCTTGTGATCCTTTATTTAAGGCTGAATTAGAGTTATGTTTGTGGGCAAGTAGACCACTTCAATTCTTTTGGTGTTGAACCCAGGATTTATTGAATATTTATTTATTGGAGTATGCATTTATTTATTAAAAAAACTAATCAGTGTGTAACCAAAACAGTGCTGCTGGCACCCATATAATTCAAGGGAAAAGCGTATTACCAAAAAAATTGTCATGGCTGTTCACATCATTCCAGTGTAGCTCACGGCATCAGGATTTCAGCTACTATATTTATGGAACTTTGCAAATCAACACAAATGTGAAGTCCCATTGATTAATGGATCTAATGCAGCTGAGACTAGCAGTCAAATTCAGCCCAAAGTGTTTGTTGGAAAAGTGTAGTAGCTCTTTTCTTACTTTGTATGAGTTATGATCCACATTAGTGATAAATTGCATACTTCATATGCAGACAGTTCAACCCCAAGCAGGATTAAGGCAAGAATTCTGCCTGAAATTTTGAAGTCCCAGTCAGTGTTGTCGATACTGAGCTAGATGGACCGAGAGTCTGAGTGTAAGGTAGCTTTCTGTGTTCCTTCCCCACCCCCTTGCAGTATTCTCTCGATTTTTTTTCTTCAGAAGGTCCTTCACATTCAAGTAGTTCCTTCCAAGACATTGGGGGGTGGGGTGGAATAAAGGATATCTCCATTGGAACAAAATCTATTTTGACGACTCCGACTATTCAGGGGAGCTGAATATGAGGGGGAGAAAAGAAAAACTGATTGCACAAATCGCCTTTCACTTGTAGAATAATTTATTACAGTGGTCCCCAACATCTTTGACACCAGGGACCGGTTTAGTTGAAGACCATTCTCCCAAAGACCCGTGTGTGTGTACTTGTTATGCAGTAGGCTGTTGGAGGATAGCTTTGAACCGAGCTCATAAAGGAAAGGGCGAGCAGGAGGTGAGCTGCAATTGAAGCTCTGCCTCCTGTCAGATCAACAGTTGCTTACAATCTAACAGGAGCACAGGCTCCTATTAGATTCTAATGCCACAACCACAGCTGATCTAGCTGCAGCAGGAGGGGAATGGAGAGCAAAGCTCCACCCCCTGTCAGATCAGCAGCAGCATTAGAACTTAATACGAACACACTTACAGGAGGCAGAGTTTCACTCACCACTCAACTCCTGCTCGCTGCTCATCTGTCCCAGTGACCCAGTCCTTCCATGGCCATGGATTGGACCGGAATTGGGGACTCCTGATTTATTACAACTTTCCTCCACCTTTCTACTAAGTTTTTCGATTGGATTGCGGTTTCTAACCCTGCATTGTATTAAGATTTGAATCTTTATTTTCTTGGTTTTCTGCAATATTGCAATTCTGTTTCCTGTGAAGACAAAAAAGAGCCAGTGATGATGCACCTTCAGACTTGCCAGCAAAGAAGGCTGCAGCAGGACCAAAAAGAGATGCCAGGCAGATTTACAATCCACCCAGTGGGAAATACAGTAGTAATCTGGGGAATTTTTCTTATGGTGAGTATTATGGAAGGTTGTGTTGTTGTGAGCAGCAAGGCGCATTTTAAATATGATTGTTTTGTGAAGCTTCCATGCTTTGTATATTTTTCCACTAGTATTCCTGCTTATGATATTTGTCTCCCTTGGTAATATTTAAAAATAGAACCTCTGTATGATTTTGCTTTAAATATAGTGGATAGTATGGGAGCCAGTTTGGTATGCTAGACATAGCATGAAACTAGGACTCAGGAGACTTGAGTTCAAATCCATGCTTGCCCATAAAAAACTGACTGGGAGATGGCAATGGTAAAACACACTTTGAACTTCACACGTACCTTTAAAATCTTATTTGGGTTGCCATAAATCAGAAGATGGCACGTAATAATAAAAATGTCTTGTATAGGATATTTTCTTTTGATTATATTAGCATATAAAACTATATAAACTTGTAAGGGTCCTGGCATATTTTGAGAGAAGTTAGCAAACATAAAAAATGAAACATTTATATGTATTGGCTAAAATCCTGTTACATAGCTAGATAAAAAGTATAACTTTTAGAGGAAAATTAACCTAAGAAGTCTCCATAGGCATTATTTCTTACATATAGAGTCATATGATTTAGTTTGCCTGTGGAGATTTCTTAGCAGGGCACTTCCTTTCCAAAGGTGATACTTTTTTTTTGTAATTTGTGCAATAGGATTTCAGTCACTGAAAGATCCTGTTTCATTTTGTTTGGATAGTCCCTTGTTTATTCTTATTCACATATTCTTGCTTTTAAATGTGTTTTAGTATTAGTTTTATTTACTGTTTTTAAATTTAAATATTTTAAATTTTTTTGTATTTGTATACTTATTCTTTTTAAATATTATCTTTAATTATGTTTGGGTCCTTTTTCAGGAGAAGGAAAAATATTTTAAATAAATAATAAATAAATACTCTGTCTACTATAATTGCTAGCTACTACAAATGTTTTTGTTAGCATTAAGCATTTTTGGGGTTTTATATTTGTTAGCTGACATGAATGACTGAGGATGCTTTGAAATACAGGATATAAATATGTAATTTTTATATGAAAAAAGCATTGGACAGGTGAAGAAAAAGTTCGCTTGTGTCCTCTTTTCCCTTTAACAGAGAAGTTGATAGACAGTATTCATTTCAAGTAAGCTTTAATAGTTTGAGTCATGATTGCAAACCTAATGTGTAAGTTTTAGCATTTATATGTAATTTATATCATCAGTTTTCATTCAGTTGCCAATATATTAGTCAGGTTCCTAAAATGTTCCTAGGAGTTAATCAGAGTTTTCCAGAATTTTGTAGTTGCTTTTAGATGATGTAATGTCAGTGAAGAACTAGCATTATGGATGTTCCTACATGGGTGCGTGATTCCCATTAGTTGAGTTTATATAGAGGCACAGTTTATTATATGTTCTGTTAAGCCAAGGCTTACAGATTGGTCCACAGAAAACATTTGTTGAGCAGAATCTTTTTGCAGAGTATATCACTCTACTTGGGTGCAGAATGTAGTTTGCCTCATTTGAAACAACTTGGCTTTCTGATTGCCCAGGTTGTTTGTGGATTCCTCTTTGTACAACCAAAGGAAAAGTTGAACTTAATAAAAAACATAAGAGAGTAAAAATGTACACATATATTTGCAAACTTCCCCTGCAGTCAGTTCTTACTTCTCACAGGTAACTTTGCCATATCCTAACCATGGCATTAGACGTGGGGTTTTAATTGTAGTTTTTATTTTTTGAAACCTATGCTAAGCTCAGCCCAACATTTCACAAACTGAAGCAATTTTTCTTTAACAACTTGTTCTAAAATCTATAAAGGTTGTTTCATCATGTTCTATATAATATGGAGGCACGCCCTGAAAATACTGACTTGCATCTTTCAAATGATTAAAACCTCAGTAAGTCCTTAAAATGTTTAGTTGACATAATTTTACTGGCTAGCAAGAACAACTCCGATTAGCATGCTGCACACTAGCACGTTTCAGATGGTGGGACAAGGGAATGAATGACAGTGGCAGATCAAGACAATTTCACAATACCAAATGGTTCATTGAGTATTGTAAAGTGTATTACCATGTGGGATAAGGATAGTGTAGTTTGAGTGTATCCGCTGCAAGTTTTAGCTCTTTTTGGCCTTGCTCTGCATAGTTGTGTCCCGTGCTGACTCCTTAATGTATAAGGAATGGTGAAGGTGAAGGAATTTCAAAGTGTGATACAGGTCTTAATTGTTGGATTAAATTAAATATGTGTTTTTAAAGATAAAAATTAGTAATATGTTTTTACATGATACATAATGTTAGATCTAAACTACACACATTGCATTTTCCTTTGTTTTCAGAGCAAAGAGGTAGTTTCCGTGGTGGAAGGGGGAGAGGATGGGGTGGACGTGGTAACCGCAGTCGTGGAAGGATCTACTGAAACCTGTGGCACTTTCCCAAAGCTGTTGTGGTGAAAAAAATCATTAAAGTGTGAAAGATTTGCCTGGAGGGCTGCATTCTTTAAAGACTGCCTTCTGCGAAAGACTCATTTAAATGTTCTTATACCTTTGTATGTATGATCTACTTTTCTAATGGACTACAAACTCTCCCACAGTGAAGCTACAACTGTATTTTTGGATGTTTAGCAGCTGCATTTTTATTTTATGTTTGTTCTTTTTAAGCATCTTCAGGATTTATTCAGGAAAAAGCATGGGTGTTCCAGCTCAAGCTGCTTCAGTATAGATGTTACATTCATTTCTAAATATGTTTAATACAAAGCTGACTCCTTAATGTATAATACTATTCACATGCTAGCAGTGGATGAAAATACCATAACTGCAGCTGAAAATCAGTAGCAGTCTTTCTCCAGACAAAATCATATTTTTTGCAATAAGTGGGGAAGAGTGATAGTGCACCAACAAAAAAAGTGTATGGTCTTAGTGTATGCATTGATTAGGTAGAAATCCTTGATTTTAAAATGTGCAAAATGGATGCAGAAGAATCTGCTCTTAACATATGCTAGTTCATCTACTTGTGTGGGAGATTTGCAGGCTCTAACACCACATCTTGCTCTTCTCCATATATTGTAATATAATGTGTGTTTTGCAAATGGCTTTTTATGTCCTTTATAAATGTGTGTGTGCATGCGCATACATATATGCACATATATATGTGTGCCATAAAATTCTAAGGAAAAAAGAAGATAAAACTGTTGGAATGGTAATCCACAAGAACATGAAGTTTGAGATGCTAGAGCAATTCTTGAGCAATCTGAAGTAAGCAAGAATAGGATCCTGACTATTTGTTGTTACCGAAGCATCAGTTAAAATGGCTGTTTCTAAATGTTATACATGGCATTAGAACTTAAAATCACAATCACTCAGCAGCACGTGGGCAAAAACCTCAGATCTCTTGAGAAGTGTTAATGTGATAGTGAGATACTACTTATAACAGGCATCCCAGTAGCTTTATTTGAAATAATATGGTTTATGAAGTTTGATTTTTTTAAATGTTTTGCATTTAAACAGTTTATTTTTTAAAGAATGAAAAATGTAACAGGATGGAAAAAACTACACTGCACAAATTCTTAACTTACCCATCTTCAAGCATCCTTTTAAGGAATCACAAATTCCTTCTTCGCCTTGTCCATATTTTCTCTGTAGAGTTTTGGGGCCCTTACTGTAAACCAGATTTTTGTATTTAGATATTTCAGTCAAGCTCTTAATGTGTGTATTGGTAAATTATAACTAGTTTATAAAACGGACAAAGATGTCATCTTAATTGTGACTTGATAATTACAAGTTTTGTTTCTTATAGCTAGCACAACCTTTTTTTGTAAAAGAGGTGTTTATGAACAGAGCAGTTAAAGAGGTCAGTTTGTGATTGTATTCTTGTGTAAGGCAAGGAGATTTTATAAGTTCCCACAGCCTAAGTGATTGAAGAAAATACATTCTAAACAAAACAAATAACCAACTTCTCCCATTAACGTATTGGTCTAGAAGATAACTGGTTCAAGATAATAATTGATCATTGATCATAATAGATCTTGACATTTTTTTTGCTAATTCACTATGATTATTTTGGCTGTTATGGCAATTTGAGGGTTTTTTTCCTGACAATATGAAAGTCTAATTTTTATAGCTGTTCGATCACTGTGCACAAGTAGCTTGGATGGGCAGTGCCCCTTGAATTACAAGTTGACTGTAGATATTTCTACCCACAAATAATGTGCAGATTGTCCTTAGAAATAGCTAGTTTGCATTTTGTGTTGCAGATGCAGTGAATTATTTCGGAAACATCTCCTAACCATTTTATTTGTAAAATTCCCCTATTCCTTTGCAATAAATCCATTTTGTAATTTTTGTTAGTGATTTGTGATTAGTAATTGTATTTTAAAACAAACCCCTTTGCTGAAAACAAGAGACATGATATCTGAATCTAAAAAATACTCTAAATGTTAGCAATTTGGGGGAAATTTCTTAAGAGGTAATGTATGATATTGTTAAAATGTTTAACTAGAAGAGGCTAGTTGGATGTTTTCATGGTCTAGGAATAAAGTACATCCCATGTGGTGCTTTTGTACTAAAGAAGAAAATGACCACTTAACTAAGGGAAGTGGAGTGGTAATATTAATGTTCTTCCTGTGGACTCTAAGCATCAGCGACAGCATGATTCTTGTACATCAGAATTATTCTGTTGAACTGGACAGTTTGATTGTAAATAGGACAATGTGCCTCACAGACAGGATGTTCTGAAGGGACTTCTCCAAATGTTCTTTTTGAAAGAATTTGGTACTACAGAAAGCTACTTCCACTGGCAGAAGCTGCTTCCACCTATAGGACTGAGAAAGAGTGGGCTGCAGGGAGGAAGAAAAGAAATTGCCAGTGATAGCACCCTACTGTCATAGAATGGAACCATACTGTATTTTCATACTGTATTTATAACCGCATAGACCAGATGGGCGGGATACAAATCAATTAAATAAATAAAAATACTGGCCTAAGCCATTAGTTTATCTACTGTATCTCAGTACAGTGGTGCCTTGCTAGACGATAATTCGTTCCACTAAAATAGCTGTTTAGCGAAATCATTGTCTAGCGAAAAGCATTTCCCCATTGGAATGCACTGAAACCTGTTTAATGCGTTCCAATGGAGAAGAATCGTCATTGTCTAGCAAAGATCGGCCATAGGAAAGCTGCTTCGTGAACCACCGATCAGCTGTTTAAAGCTGTCTCAGGAAGCTTAGGTCCTGAAAACACCCGTTTTACAAGCATGGAGGGAGCTGTCAAAATCGTCTAGCGAAAATTGGTTTGCGAAGCAGGGACCAAACATTGTCCAGTGAAATTCCCCTATAGGAATCACTGTTCTACGAATCGCTATAGCTATCGCAAAAAGTCAATGTCTAGCAAAAAAACTCATGCGGGGTAACTGTCTAGTGAGGCACCACTGTACAGTACTGGTTCCAACCACTAGAGCTATGGACAATCCTATTCAAGCTACCAACTCTGAATTTCTGACCTTTAGCTAGTTACTCGATCAGTTTTGCATTATCGGAGGACACTTTCAATCAATTTGTCATTGACTTACTGAAATCACTGGATGATCAGAATACAGTAATCCCAAATTTGTTAGAATAGGCAAATATAAGGATTTCCTTAAATGCTTGGGTTTTTTCCCAGTTCCAGATGTATATAATTGTTCCTGTGTAGCATTTTTGTCTCCACTGTATTCAGATCCTTAAAATACAAAGGGTGTCGATCCACACTCCTGCCTTTGTACTTTTACTGTTTTCCCCAAAGTGTATTTTTCCTATATTTTCATTGGAAACAGCGACTGTTCTGTTATGCCTGTGTAAATTACAATGTTATGCATGCTAGCAAAATCATTACATATTTCCTATGGTTTGAACAGCATTTATTTCTAAAATTTATGCTCAAGCATTCAGGAGGTAAAATTTTTATTGTTCCAAAATTCAAAACATCCTTGTCCACATTTTAACCCACCCCCTCATAACAAATATGCAAGCTTCTCATATGGAAGGGGCCTTCTTACCTCATCTGGCCTAAGTTTTTTTTCTCTATCGCTGCCTCCTTCATCAGACCCAATCAATATGCACCTACAATATGCCTGTGTTGAGTTGAACTAAAAGATCGCTCCGTTGCTGTTCGATGCAGAACAGTTTAGGACGACAAGCACTGCGGGACTTGCCACGGCAGACCCAACGTAGGTCAATGTTTACATAAATCTCACGGATCAAAGAGATCTAATCTACTTGGAACAAGGCACCGGATTTAGGCAGAAACGCACAAAAAACGTTCACGAGTCCCTCACGAAATCCAGGAGGCGAGCAAGCGGTCCTGCTTCCTGACCACACCCAGCACTGGTGGGTCCGTAGAAGAAAAGGAGCGCCGGCCCCTCCCTCCCTCCCTTCGAGGGGAAAAGGCTGCAGGATGCCTGAGATGGGCGGCTGCCCTCTCGTTGCACGTCCGCCCCCTTCCCTGCCTACCTAATTGCTCGGCCCCCCGCTTTTTTTCCGGCAACTTCCCCTTTGAGGTACTTTTCCCCCCAATCCTTCCTCGCCGACTTTGCTCCCTCCCATAGAGATAGGAAAAATGAAGACTGAGGGGCACGCAAAACTTACTCTCATTTTCCATTGTAAAAATGAGCTGATTTTTCCACTCGTAAAAGCCAAAGTAATTCCCACGGACAGGGTGCTGCTTCTATATTTGTCTTCCGAGATGTTACTCGGCGGAGCAGAGGAACCTATGACGGACAAGGCCGGCTTCCTTTTCAACCCCAACCTTGAGTCTATGTGTGACTCTACATGTTTCCAAGCGCTATGTGTCGCCCTCCCCCCTCTTAGCGCAACGTGCTTCCTGCTCCAAAATGGCGGCGGAGGCCGTTCCGCTTCCGGGTGGCGCGGTCAGGCCGGGCTTGAGGAAGATGGCGGTAGCAGCCGGAGAGTCCGGGTGGGGAGACCGAGGGCTAGTGTGCGCCTTCTTGCCACGGGCGTTAGGTCTCTTCTTGCTGCTGGCATGGGCGCCTCGGCTGGGCGCCGGGACCACTCACTGGGTGGTCACCGAGGACGGCAAGATCCAGCAGCAGGTGAGGGAGGGGCTCCTCTGGTCGCCCTGGAAACCGTCGCCGTCGGAATACTTCCCCTTCCTCCGCTTTCCCCTCTGGTCGGCTCGGTGTTCTGTCTCCCTCTTTCTCTGCTGGCCGAGCCTTTTGCCCTGAAATCCCTCTCCAGCAGAGAGAAGGCGCTTCCCGGAGTATTGTAGCTGCTTCCAGGGAAGTCCCATCGGTCGCCTCCTTTCTGTACAACCGGTTGTCTGTGGTGGTAGCAGGACCCGGGTCTTAAACCGAAGTGAATGCCCCGGCTGGGTAGAAGCTACATTTCAATCCTCCGTGTAGTAATTTATGGCCCGTTTGCTTAGCTTGGCAAGATCTTTTAGGCATACTTCATCGTCTTAGATTTCCTCCAGCCCTGACTATACCCTCTTCAGCCCAAGACCACATTGCTTAGGTGTATTAAATGATGGTAATCTCAGAAGAGTCTTTGGATACCCCACTGCCTTCAGACAGAGGTTATGGAAAAATCTATTTTTCCTCCTACTCTCTTCCCCTTACTCTTTTGCAAGTTACTGAACTATTAATGGGACACTAACTGCTGTTGTTTTTAGGAGTGCTCATCAGGAGCTCTTTGGAAGTCCAGGTACTTAAAATCTAGTGGTTCTCTAATGGGTGTTCCCCTCTTTGTAGCTGTCAATGTAAGAAAGTAAAAATAGCTCTGATACTTCAGTCCCAAGGTCTGCCTGGTCCAACATTATCTTCCTGCAATGGCAATCCAGGTGCCTACTAGATCTAGTATAAAGCTCTCTATCTCTTTCCAGTCCTTATGTACATTTGTTAATAGTGTTCAACAGTTCTAGTTTTAAGAGTGTGATAATTGTGTCTAGGGTGATAATTACAGACACAAGTTTTCAGTTTCTCCGATGGATTCCTTAAGTGGTTTGAGTTTTGCGCATGATTTTGTTACCTTTGGTCTCCATTTGTTGTTTCCACTTTCCTATGAAGGATTAAGAGATTTGTGGCAAAATCTGAAAAGTACAAAGTCCTGTTTTGCTGTGGAGTGGTGCACTGCCACGTTTGGGTGACCTACTGTTGCAACACAGTGGTTGTATAAATTTAAATCTGCAGAAGAAAAAGGCCAGATTACATAATTGCTTTGAATGGAGTTTCTCATTCATATAGTTTAGTAACATTTTTAACAGTTCTGTAAATCTGACCATGTTCATTCACAACTACCTAAATTGCATTTACAGTGTAGTTTCATTTTTTCCTATCAGGCATTGTATTTATTTAGTGCATATATTTTTGGTATGGTTTTTTTTCCAGTGGAAAAATCTCTTTGAAATATTCCTAAATAAAGACTTTCTTATCATCAACAACCATAAAATTTTTTGGCATTAAGTATGATTGTAGACTGCCCACATACTAACATTGTATACTGCCCAGAGAGTGCTTTAAGTACTATGGAGTGGTATATTTTCAAAGTATTCAGATTATATATTTCTACTCATCACTGTAGTGCAAATGTTAATAACTAGTAGTAATTACATTGTTTATCATAAAAGATATTAACTATAAGTGTCTATAGCATTTATTCTTCTTCTGATTATCTCCTTGTTGGATATAAACTCTGAGAGTTGGAGAAATTCCTAAATTACTTCTGATTGGTTAGAGATAAAGAATACTAAATGTTTAATGTGAGCAGCTGTGGTTATAGTACCCTCCTGCAATATCTTACTGCACTTCTTTCCTGTTAGTGTAGTAAAGACGCGCAAACATCCCTTAGTGAAGGGAAGCATATTAGACTGATCTTCTCTGTGCTATATAGCTCAGGGCTGCATGCATTTACTCGGATGCAAGTGTTCCCTAGTAAATGGGCATAGGATTGCTGCTTTAATCCCTTATTTATGTTGTACCTGTTATTCTGTAATAATCCTGATCTTAATCCTGTCAACTAATTAAAATAAATTTAATGTGGCTATTGATATATGTTTGTGAAATTTGGAAATTATGTGCTTTTTTGTGCTTGTTGTAAAGGTGATAGTGTTATGTGCATTGTATTTTCATCTGCTGTATCATGTTACGTGCATCATAAAATGTCCTAGTATTCAGCTAGAAATGTCGTTGAATTGGGCATATCAACAATATTTTAAAAAGAATGAATGTTGGGAAGATGCACTATTATAAAGTTATATGCTGAGAATGTATTCTCAAAAGCTTTCATGACCAGGATCCGATGGTTGTTGTGGGTTTTCTGGGGTTTGGCCGTGTTCTGAAGGTTGTTCTTCCTAACATTTCACCAGTCTCTGTGGGCAGCATCTTCAGAGGACAGGAGTCAGAACTCTGTCTGTGCTCTGGTGCAGTTTGTTGAATAGTATTGGAGGGCAGGATCTGTGCGCAGGGGGGCGGGACACCCCCCACACTTGTGGGTGGACAGGGCACGCTCATGTGCATGCGCAGATGGGTGGGGCGCTCTCGTGGGTGGGCTTTTTAACTTCAGTACAAAATGAGCTTGTCTCTTTCACTTCATGAGTCCTAATTTTTTTTAACAACTGCACTAGGATTTTGTTGTACTTTCCTGTTTCATAGCTCTAAAAATGAAGTGGAAGTTTACAGGATTGTCAATTTTTTAAAAGCATAATTCTCCAGACAAGTGATTGGATAGCTCAGTAGTTTCAAATACTGCATAAACAGTATTTAGGTTTAAACATACAAAAAAGAAGTAGAAACTAAAGAGTTAGTGAATGTGGCATATTACAGTGGTGCCTCGTTTAACGAGTGCCCCGTTTAACGAAAAAATCGCATAGCGATGGCTTTGTTGCCATCGCTTTTGCGATCGCACAACGATCTTGCCCCAGCTGAGCGGCGGGAGCTTTGAAGCCCCGCTTCTCAGCTGGGGGAAAATGTCGGCAGTGGGCTGCGGCCTCGGAAGGACCCCGAAGCCACCGTCCCCTGCCGACAATTCCCTTCCGAGCTCTCAAAGGGCCCCCTCCGATATTGGAGAAAGCCCTTTGAGAGCTCGGAAGGCTCTCAGCGGCGGCGGGGGAAGGGTACCGGGGTGTCGAAGGCTTCCAGGTGTCCGAGAACGGGCTGGGTAGGCGGCGCGGGGAGGCTACCGGCATCGCAGACAGGCTGGGGGGGGGGCCGGGGGGCTTGGA